TGATTAACCGCCTTCCTTCTACTAACACAGAGTCTACTTCACCGTTTCAACTTCTTTACAAAGAAGTTCCTCTGTACTCCAATCTCAAAACATTCGGCTGTGAATGTTTTCCTCTCTCACCGCAACATTTAAGAAATAAATTACAGCCTAAATCTAACTCATGTGTGTTTCTTGGTTATGTAGATCAATATAAAGGCTACAAGTGCTACAATCGTCAAACAAATTCTGTCTTGATATCTAGGCACGTTACCTTTAATGAAGACTCATTCCCATTTCGGCATAATACAGAGATGATTTCCTCTACCTCTCAGTATACGACTCCAGCGTTTCTTATGCCTCACTCATCGGCTCAGCAACAAACTTTGAGGATTAATTCAGTGGATTCTCAACCCCAACCGAATCAAATTCCCAGCTCAATTACTCAGGAACAAACACTGGTCACACCCCCTTCAAACTCTGCATCCGAATCTCTCAATTCCCCAAGCTACAGCACCATACCGACTCCTATTACAACTAACCAACATCCAATGGTCACCCGTCTACGAACCGGATCGCTCAAGCCTCGCAACAGACTTAATCTTTTACATCATTATTCGAACAATACTCTCTCCGAACCGACTACTTTTCGGGATGCCTACAAATCGATGAATTGGCGTCATGCTATGGCAACGGAATTCAGTGCTTTACAAAAACAGGGAACATGGATCCTTGTTCCTCCACCTCCATCTACATCTATCATAGGATGTCGTTGGACTTTTCGTACAAAAAGACACACTGACGGATCCGTTGCTAGACACAAAGCTCAACTTGTAGCTCAGGGAAATCATCAAGAACACGGTGTTGATTATCTTGAAACATTTAGCCCTGTTGCTAAATTACCCACGGTTCGCATACTTATTACTATCGCTCTGTTCCACAACTGGACCATCAGGCAATTTGATGTGGAAAATGCCTTTCTTCATGGCAAGCTGTCGGAGACGGTGTATATGAAACAACCAAAAGGCTTTGAAGATACATCGCATCCGGATCATGTGTGTCTTCTACAAAAAGCTATTTATGGTTTAAAACAGGCTCTGAGACAGTGGTACAACACATTTACTGAGCATGTTCTCTCTCTCAGCTTCCAGCATAGTATGGCTGATCCGTCGTTGCTTACCTATAAGAAGAATGATACGAGAATGTACTTGTTGGTCTATGTAGACGATATATTGATCACCGGCAATAATAGTCAAGCAATTTCTAACCTCATATCTAAACTTGCAGCTCGCTTTAATTTAAAAGACCTTGGTCTTGCTAATCAATTTTTAGGCATATCTATACATTATGCTAACAATTCTTATTTCCTATCACAGAAATCCTATGCGCTATCTATTCTGCAGCAAGTAGAGATGGAAGATTGCAAAGGCCTGGCGAATCTGACCTGCACAAAAATACCGTCTGAAATCACACCCGATGCGCTGCTATCAAATCCAGTCACATTCCGGCGAATCACTGGATCACTACAATATTTAACATTGACACGTCCCGATATTGCTTTTGCAGTCAATGTCATATCTCAAAATATGCATAATCCGCTCAATACTCATTGTTTCTTGTTAAAACGACTTCTCAGGTACATTCGTGGAACGCTAGACTTTGGATTACCAGTCACCAAGTCGGACCTCAAACTGCGATCGTTCTCTGATGCTGACTGGGCGGGCGACCCAGCGACACGAAAGTCCACAACAGGGTTTTGCACTTTTCTCGGGCAAACACTGGTTTCATGGGCAGTAAAGAAACAAAAGGTCGTAGCTCGCTCTTCAACTGAATCGGAGTATAGAGCACTTGCAGCGGCCACAGCAGATCTCATATGGATCAAACGATTGCTTGCAGATTTTGATATTACTCAA